GCAGCAGCAGCAGCAGCAGCAGCAGCAGCGCAGCCGCTGCAGCGCAGAAGACACAGCAAAGGCAGCAACCCGCCGGTGGCTCCCTGTGGGGTCTGGGGGCCCCTCAAAGCCCCCGCTGCTGCGGCGGGGGGCCCCCCCTGCTGCTGCTGCTGCTGCTGCTGCTGCTGCTGCTGCTGGCCACTGGAGGATTATGTCTTTCAATATACTTGCAGAAAGCTTAGTAGACGAGAAGTACAGCAAACAGGTCCGTTGCTGCTGCTGCGCTGCTGCTGCTGCTATGCTGCTGCTGCTGCTGCTATGCTGCTGCTGCTGCTGTCCTGCTGCTACTGCTGTTCTGCTGCCGCTGCTGGGCTGCTGCTGCTGCTGTGCTGCTGCTGCTCCGCTTGTGCCTCCTACAACAACTGCATGCACCTCGCTGCTGCTGCTGCTGCTGCTGCTGCTGTGCTGCTGCTGCTCCGCTTGTGCCTCCTACGAGGACTGCATACACCTCGCTGCTGCTGCTGCTGCTGCTGCTGCTGCTGCTGCTGCAGGACCCGCAGCTGCTGGCGTGGAACCGCCGCGGCGCTGCAGTGCTGAAGGAGTTGCTGCTGCACCTTCCTGCTGTCATTTGTTTGCAAGAAGTTGAAGAAAGAAGACTTTCCTTCTTCGAATCGGTGACTCATCAGCCTGTGTCTTGCTGCTGCTGCTGCTGCTGCTGCTGCATCTGCTGCTGCTGCTGCTGCTGCCTCTGCTGCTGCTGCTGCGGTCTTTGCCGCTGCTGCTGGCCCTGGTGCTGCTGCTGCTGCGGTCTCTGCGGCTGCTGCTGCCTCTGCTGCTGCTGCGATATCTGCTGCTGCTGCTGCCTCTGCTGCTGCTGCGATATCTGCTGCTGCTGCTGCTGCTGCTGCTGCTGCTGCTGCTGCAGCAATTGGCGGGAGAAGGCTACGGCTGCGTGTACAAGCGGCTCAGCTCTTTGACCCGCAGCGACGGCGTTGCTCTTTTTTGGCGAAGAGATAAATTCCAACTTCTCGAAGCAGCAGCTTACCAGTTCAACTTCAGAGACAACAGGTCCTGCTGCTGCTGCTGCTGCTGCTGGGGGGTGCTGCTGCTGCTGCTGGGGGTGCTGCTGCTGCTGAGGGTGCTGCTGCTGGTGTGGGTGCTGTTGGTGAGGTTGCTGCGTCTGATGCTGCTGCTTTGCTGCTGCTGCTGCTGCTGCGCTGCAGCATTATGGACAAAGACCAGGTGGCCCTCATAGTTCTCTTGAAGGAGGAGCCGCCGCAGCAGCAGCAGCAGCAGCAGCAGCAGCAGCAGCAGGAGGAGAGATCGCCCGGCGCCGCTTCCCAGGCCGAGCCGCCGCCGCAGCAGCAGCAGCAGCAGCAGCAGCAGCAGCAGGCGTGTCCGCGGCTGCTGGTGGCAGCAAACACGCACTTGTTGTTTTCTCCAACTCGAGGAGATATAAAGTTGTGTCAGTTGGTTTATTTCTTCAAAGGGTTGTTTGACCTGCAGCAACGGGGTGTCTTGACAGCTTACGAGGCCCTCAAGGGGGCCCCCGGCTCCCTCGCCATTCTCCGAGACACGAGGCCCCCTGGCGCGGAGGCCCTGGACCCTGCTGCTGCTGCTGCCGCCGCAGCAGCAGCAGCAGCAGCAGCAGCAGCAGCAGCAGGAGGAGAGATCGCCCGGCGCCGCTTCCCAGGCCGAGCCGCCGCCGCAGCAGCAGCAGCAGCAGCAGCAGCAGCAGCAGGCGTGTCCGCGGCTGCTGGTGGCAGCAAACACGCACTTGTTGTTTTCTCCAACTCGAGGAGATATAAAGTTGTGTCAGTTGGTTTATTTCTTCAAAGGGTTGTTTGACCTGCAGCAACGGGGTGTCTTGACAGCTTACGAGGCCCTCAAGGGGGCCCCCGGCTCCCTCGCCATTCTCCGAGACACGAGGCCCCCTGGCGCGGAGGCCCTGGACCCTGCTGCTGCTGCTGCTGCTGCTGCTGCTGCTGCTGCTGCTGCTGCTGGGGGCGCGGCTGCGGGGGCTGCGGCGGGCGGCGAGCCCGCGCGCGCAGCAGCTGCAGCACCAGCAGCAGCAGCAGCAGCAGCAGCAGCAGCAGCAGCAGCAGCGGGGGAGGCGCCGCCGCGGACGCTGTGCTGCAGCGGCGCAGGAGCAGCAACAGCAAAGGCGCGGCTGCTGCAGTGGGCTGCTGCACTTGGAGACACTTATGCAGCAGAAGTGGAGGGACTGGAAGCAGCAACTTTGGAAGCAGCAAATAAACTTGTCCATATTGTTGCATGCGGAGACTTCAACTTCACCCCACAAAGTCCTCTTTACCATTTGGTGCTGCAGGGACAAATGAACTTCTCCCAACTCGCCAAAGACAAACTCTCAGGTGCTGCTGCTGCTGCGCTGCTGCTGCTGCTGCTGCTGCTGTTGCTGCGCTGCTGCTGCTGCTGCTGCTGTTGCTGCGCTTCTGCTGCTGCTGCTGCGCTGTGCTGCCGCTACTGCTATGGTGCTGCTGCTGCAGCTGCTGTGCTGCTGCTGCTGTGCTGCTGCTGCAGCTGTTGTGCTGCTGCTGCTGCGCTGCTGCTGCTGTGCTGCTGCTGTGCTGCTGCTGCTGCAGCTCTGGTGCGGCTGCAGCTGCTCCCTTCACTTACCATTTATTCCTCTTGAGTTCTTTTTTTTCCAATTTTTCGAATTTCTGACTCATTTTTTCTGAATAATAATTATTTCGAATCAAATTAAAGCTATTTGATGCATTTAAATGGCTTAAAAGGGATTAAAATGGATTAAAATGGATTAAATGGACTTCATTTCCGGCTTTTTGTCGCAGGCCAATTCCTCATGTCCTCCAAAACTTACCCCATAAGGCCCCAGGGCCACCACTTCGCAGGCGCCTCCGCAATGAAGTGAATTGCAGTTTATTTTGCTCTTTTTGGACTCTTTTTGTCCCCTTTTTGGCTCTTTTTGTCCCTTTTTTTAACTCTTTTTGTCTCCTTTTTGTCTTTTTTTGTTTCCTATTTCGTCTCCATTTGTTTTCGCTTTTTTCCCCGTCGTTTGGCCCGTTTCTGGTCTTTTTTTGGCACTGTTTGGTCTCTGTTTGCTCGTTTTGTCTCCTTTTTGGCTCCTTGTGTCCCTTTTTTGACTCTTTTTGTCCTTCTTTTTACTCTTTTTGTCTCTTTTTTGACACTCTTTGTCTCCTTTTCTATCCCTTTTTGTTTTTCCCTTTTTTCCTGTCGTTAGTTCCATTGTCATGGCAATTTTCTGTCCACTTCTGCCCTTTTTAGCTCTTTTTGGACTCTTTTTGTCCCTTTTTGGACTCTTTTTGTCCCTTTTTTCACTCTTTTTGTCCCTTTTTTCCACTCTTTTTGTCTCCTTTTTGACTCCTTTTGTCTCCTTTTCTGTCTCCATTTGTTTCCCCTTTTTTTCTGTTTTTTTCCCAATTTTTGGTCTCATTTTGCCATTTTTTGGTCTCTTTTTGCCTTTATTTTCCTTTTTTGGCTCCTTTTTCCCTTTTTATCTCTGTCACATTTGTCTCATTTTTGTTCATTTATTATTTCTTTTAATTTCCTTTTTACTCTTTTCAATTTTAGTTTATTTTTATTTTTAATTTAATTATTTATTTTTATTTTTTATTTTTTATTTTTATTTTTGTCTTTAGTGCCCCAGAGGCCTCTCGGGCTTTAACTCAAATCTCGAGGGGCTCTGTTGCTGCTTGGGAGAAGTCCGTGAGAGCTCTCTTTAGGCAGCCAGCAGCAGCAGCAGCAGCAGCAGCAGGAACTGCAGCAGCAGCAGCAGCAGGAACTGCAGCAGCAGCAGCAGCAGGAGCTGCGGCGGGAGCTGCAGCAGCAGCAGCAGCAGCAGCTCCGGGAGAAGCTGTGCCGCAAGCAGCTGCGGCAGAATCGCCTGCAGCCCACAGCCCTTCCGCTGACACGCAGCAGCAGCAGCTGCAGCAGCAGCAGCAGCAACAGCAGCAGCAGCAGCAGCAGCAGCAGCAGCAGGACAGCGAGGCCAACGGCAGCGAGAACCCCGCAGATCCTCTTGCTGCCGCCCCGCAGCAGGACTCCCCACTTGCATCTCCTGAGCAGCAGCTGCAGCCGCAGGATCTCCAGCAGCAGCAGCTGCTGCAGCTGCAGCAGCAAGAACAGCAGCAGCAGCAGCAGCAGCAGGGGAAGCTAAAAGCGGAAGACCCCTTTGTAGTGTCTCTACCCTTCGCCCTCAAAAGCGCTTATGCCATTCGCCCCACTGACACGCAGTGGAAAGGAAAGGAGCAGCAAGCAGCAGCAGCTGTGCTGCCTGCTGCTGCTGCTGCTGCTGCTGCTGCTGCTGCTGCTGCTTGCGAGGCAGGGCCCGAGGCCCCGCAGGCGGGCATCTGGGGCCCCGCGGTGACCCCCAGCCCCAGCAGCAGCAGCAGCACCCCCAGCCCGAGCAGCAGCAGCAGCAGCGGCAACCCCAGCCCCAGCAGCAGCAGCAGCAGCAACCCCAGCCCCAGCAGCAGCAGCAGCAGCAACCCCAGCCCCAGCAGCAGCAGCAGCAGCAGCAGCCCGGGCAAATACAGCACAAGCCCCAGCAACTACGGCAGCAGCCCCAGCAACAACAGCAGCAGCCCCAGCAACTGCAACAGCAGCAGCAGCAGCAGCCCCAGCAGCAGCAGCAGCAGCAGCAGCAGCAGCAGCAGCACAGCTGGGGACTTTGTGGAGGAGCCAGCCTTTACAGCTTTTCACGGATGGCAAAAAGGCTGCATTGATTACATATTTTATCAGTCAGACAATTTGCAGGTAATTAATTTTTTAATTTAATTCTTTTTATTTATTTTTCATTTTATTCCGCATTTTGCTGCTCCCTCAGGTGTATGGACACCTTGCGGAGCCCTTGTATCCAACTGCTGCTGCTGCTGCTGCTAGTTCGGTGCTGCTGCTGCTGCTAGTTCGGTGCTGCTGCTGCTGCTAGTTCGGTGCTGCTGCTGCAGCTGCTGCTGCTTTGCTGCTAGTGCTGGTTTGCTGCTGCTGCTGCTGCTGCTGCTAACTACGCCTAGGGTGCTGCGGCTGCTGCTGTCCTTGGTGCTGCTAATGCCTCCGTTGTTTGCAGCTTTGCTGCTGCCCCGTGGCTCAGTGCTGCTGCTTCTAATGTGGTTTAGGGTTTAGGGTTTAGGGTTTAGGGTTTAGGGTTTAGGGTTTGGTTTGGTCGCAGGTAGCTCAAGTCTATCAGCTGCCGAGCATGCTCAGGCAAGGACGAGTTGGCTCCTGCCCCAATGAGGTGAGCTGCTGCTGCTGCTGCTCCTGCTGCTTCTGCTGCTGCTGCTGCTGCTGCTGTTGCTCCTGCTGCTTCTGCTGCTGCTGCTGCTGCTGCTCCAGCAGGACGTCGCAGTGTGTAGGCAGCTGCTATGCAAGGCCAGAGCGCAGCGAAGGCCGGGGGAGGGGGCGGCATTTGTGGGCCTTTTGAGTGGAAAAAATGGATGAAAAATGGATTAAATAAATGGAAAAAAAGAACAAATAAAGAAATAAAAAAAGAAAAGAATTAAAATGATGCAAGGAGGAGAAATTCGCGAGAGAAAGAGCCCAGAAAAGGCCTGCAGCAGCAGCCCGCGCCTGGCCCAGCAGCAGGCCGAAGCAGCAGCAGAGTGCATGCAGCAGCTGGAAAGTGGAGGAAATAAACTGCATTTATTTGGAATTGCTCTCTAATTAAATAAAGTTTCTGTTTGCTGCATGCATGCGCGAATTAGATCTTCAAAATGATGCATTATGAGCTTGGAAGTCCTCAAAATGGAGGACTTGGGGTGTACGTACACTCGAAACGCCCCGAGTCCTCAAAATGGAGGCCGCGGCGTTTCGGGTGTACGTACACCGGAGTAATGCACTTCGCTTCTGCGCAAGCACTTCTGCTTCTTGTTGTATTTCTGCTTCTCATTTATGTTTCTTCTTCTCTTTTTGATGATATAATAAAGCTATTAGCGGAAAAGTGGATTTAAATGCACTTTTATGTTTCAGTCTTTTGCAAAAGTCCCAAGTTCCAGCAGCAGGAGCCGCTGCGCGTGTTGCGCCTCAGATGCATGCAATTTCAGCTCCACTTCATTTATGATTATATTTTTCATTTTCTTTTTATTTATTTTCCGTTTTCATTTTGTTTTTATTTATTTTCCCGTTTGCTTCCAATAAATGCATTTCAGCACATCTTCGCGGCGGCGTGCATGCAGGCGGTTGTGTTTGGTGGTTTAGGAAAGAGAAAGTTGCATTCAAGGAAAGAAGTCGAAATTCCTTCAAGTTCTTTCATTCATCTTTTATTATTTACATTTATAAATAATAAATAATTTATAAAGTTCATTCCAAGGACTATTTGAGCTGCCGGTTCGCTTTCCAGCGGCGCCGGCGCTGGCTCACTGTGCTGAGGTGTACGTACACCTCAGCAGCGCTCGCTCCCTGTCCAGTGTACGTACACCCCGCGTCCCCGAGCGCTCCGAAGGCAGCAGAACAGTTTTCATTTGTTGCAGTTGCTGCTGCGCTTCTCCCTCGTGCCCTCAAGGGGGCCCCCCTGGTCCTGGGGGCCCCCGCGCTTCGCCCTCGCGCCGCCGGCCCAGTGGACCACTGCATGCGCATGCAAGTGACCACTGGTCATTTGCAGCTGCATGCAGTGGTCCACTGGTCACTTCGCCAGCCACTGCATGCGCATGCAAGCGGCCACTGGCCACTTCACCAGCCACTGCATGCGCATGCAAGTGACCACTGGTCACTTCAGCAGCCACTGGTCACCCCACAAGTGGCTGCATGCGCATGCAAGTGACCACTGGTCACCCCATGTGACCACTGGGGGCTGGAGGGCCACTGGGGCACTTGGGCTGCCGCAGAGGGGAAGGGCCCAAAGGACTTGGGGTGTACAGACAGCTCGAACTGGCCAAGAGCGGCCTGTCTATCCAGTACAGCGAAACGGCTGGACTTAAATGCTATTTAGCCTCTTTTCCACTTAGGGTTTAGGGTTTAGGGTTTAGGGTTTAGGGTTTAGGGTTTGGAGGTGAGAGGGGCCTTCGGGCGCCTTTAGGGTTTGCGTTTGGCTCTGCTGCTGCTGCAGAGCGCAGCTCAGAAGCAGCAGCAGGTGTCTATACACCCCAGCAGCTCTTTGTTGTACACTGAGGTGTATGTACACCTCAGCAGGTGTATGTACACCTCAGCAGGTCTCTATTGTACACCCAAAAGGGGTGCTGAAGCTGGCCTGGAGTGGGGCGGCAGGGCTGCTGCTGTTGCTGCTGCAGCTGCTGCTGCTGCATCTGCTGCTGCTGCTGCTGCTGCTGCTGCTGCAGCAAGCCCTAAACCCTAAACCCTTAGGCACCACAAGCGCAGAGAGTCCTCCTCTTTGCCTAAAGATGGCCTGGCAGCTGCAACGAGTTGAAAATTTGAATTAATTAAATTAATTAAATTAATTAAATTAATTAAATCTTTTGATTAATTAAATCATTTCAACGAATTAATCAATTAAAAGAATTAAATAATTAAAAAAATAAAGAAAATAACTTAATTCCGTCAAGTCCACAAATAAAACAATATTTATGATAACTCAATAAATCAAATTTAAAATAAAATAAATCCAAAAAATATATTTATTTATTTCGCTTCAATTTTATTCCTTTATTTAGCCAGGCTTTAGGGGCCCCGGGGGCCCCCACAGGGGCCCCCAGGGGGCCCCCGGGGGGCCCCCAAAGGGGCCCCCAGGGGGGCCCCCAAGGGGCCCCCTAGGGCCCTAGAGCAGCACCAGTGAATGGAATAAATTACTTGTGTGTTTTTTGGGTTCTTTTGTTGTTTTGGATTCAAATTTGATTAACTTGTTTTTGCTGCTTCTGCTGCTGCTGCTGCTGCTGCTGCTGCTGCTGCTGCGAGGGTCTTTTGGGGGCCCCTTCTGGCCAAGGGGGCCCCCAAAAAGAGGCCCTGGGGGCCCCCATTTGCTTCTTTGAGTTTTCTTTTGCTGCTGCGCTGCGGTGGCTCGCAAATGGCAGCAGCAGGGGCCCTTTTGCTGCTGTGATGGGCAGGGCCCCACAGCTGCCGCTGCTGCTGCTGCTGCTGCTGCTGCTGCTGCTGTTAGATCCGTCGCCCGCTTTAGTGTGTCAAGGGGGCCCCCCGTTGCTGCCAGACTGTACCCTTTTGGCCCTTCCAGCTATGAGGGTTTGGGGGCCCCCAGCGAGACTTGGGGGGCCCCCCACTTGCTTAGGGGGCCCCCCTTTACCTTGGGGCCCTGCTGCTTCTGCCCATCGTCGAGCAGCAGCAGCAGCAGCAGCAGCAACAGCAGCAACAACGGCAGCGGGGTTTCTCTCACGGTTCCCGCCCACCCACCTGCAGCAGCAGCAGCAGCAGCAGCAACAGCAGCAGCAGCAGCAGCAGCTGCTGCTGCTGCATGCTGCTTGCAGCACCTGCAGCAGACGCAGAAGGCCCAGAAGACACATGGAGGGGCCCCTGCAAGCTGTGGGGGCCCCCTGCAGCAGGGGGCCCCCCGAAGAGGCCCTTTTGGGTTTGAGCTTTCTTGGGGGCCCCCGGGGGGCCCCGGGGGCCCCGGGGGGCCCCCGAGGAGGCCTGGGGGCCCCCTTTGGGGGCCCCCTGTCCCCCCGCTTTTGCAGCTGCTTCACCTCTTCTGCCAGCTCCAAAAGCGCTGCTGCTGCTGCTGCTGCTGCTGCTGCTGCTGCTGCTGCTGCAAGGATGAACACAGGGGGCCCCCCTGCCCCCTGCCCTGCTGCCCAACCCACAAAAGGGTCTCCAGAAATACCCACAGGGGGCCCCCCCCCAGGGGCCCCCTCCAGGGGGGCCCCTACTAGAGGGGCCCCCTCCGCAGGGGCCCCCACTACGGGGGCCCCCACAGGAGGCCCCCCCAAAAAGGCCCCCAAGGGGGCCCCCAAGGGGGCCCCCAAAGAAACCCCCGAAGAAGTCCTCAAAGGGGCCCCCAAAAAGGCTTCCAAAAGGGCCCCCAAGGGGGCCCCCAAGGGGGCCCCCAAGGGGGCCCCCAAAGGGGCCCCCACCACAAGTCTCCCTGTTGTGGAAGTCCCCACGGGGGCCCCCACTACAGGGGCCCCCACCTCAGGGGCCCCTTCCCCGGGGCCCCCGCCTCTGGGGGCCCCAACTGAGGGGGCCCCCACTTCAGGGGCCCCCACCCAGGGGGCCCCCACCCAGGGGGCCCCCGGCCCCGGGGGACCCTCTGCCCTGGGGGCCCCCAGCAGGGGGGCCCCCACTGTGGGGACCCCCACGAGGGGGCCCCCCGGGGCCCCCACTAGGGGGCCCCCCACGAGGGGGGCCCCCACGCGGGGGGCCCCCACGGGGGGGGCCCCCAGCGAGGGGGCCCCCGGGGCCCCCAGTTCGGGGGCCCCCGCGGTGGGGCGTTTTCTGGTGGTGGATGGGAGTTGTGTAATGTTTAGATGTTTTCATGGAATGCCTCATTTGAAAAGTCGAGAAGGAGAAGATGTGGGGGCCCTGTGGGGTTTTGTGCGGGCTTTGGCTCAGGTGAGGGTTTAGGGTTTAGGGTTTAGGGTTTAGGGTTTAGGGTTTGGAAACCCTGAAAAAGGGTTTGCCGCTGAAACCAGCGCCGCTGCTGCTTTCTCCCGTCTTAAATTCTTCTTCAAAGAGTGCTGCTCTTGACGTTTAATTAAAGGCCACCAAGTGGTGGGATCGAAGCCGCACCCCCTCAGGGTTTAGGGTTTAGGGTTTAGGGTTTAGGGTTTAGGGTTTAGGGTTTGGCTTGGCCTCTTGCGTGTGTGCACTGCTTCCCGTTTCCCAACTCCCCCCCGCCGCGCCGCCGAACGCCTGGGCGCGGGGCCCAGGCCTGGGGCCCAGGGTTCAGGGTTTAGGGTTTAGGGTTTAGGGTTTAGGGTTTAGGGTTTGCTGCAGCTGCGGCGGCGGCTGCGGCCCTCGCACTTGGCCGTGGTTTTCGACCACCCCACCAGCCGCAAAGCCCGCAGGGCCATCAGCCATTCTTACAAGAGCCACAGGGGCCCCCCCCCGTTGGCTTTGGCGCAGCAGCTGCGCAGCGCCAAGTTCCTCTGTGCTGCACTCGGTGGGTTTGCTGCTGCTGCTG